ACTTTTAGGCAAAAAAAGAAAGGCTGCAAGCTTAAATCTTGCAGTGCCTTGGTTTATACTATTAATGTTGAAAAATTTCAGTTGTATAAATTGAATGGAAAGATGACTAAATAACAGCTACCAACTGTGACCAGCAATAACAACTGAGTTTAAAAAATTAAAAAATTTATCTGAATCAGCTCAAAGTTTCTACACAATATAAGGACATAGATCTATTCTATGTATGAGAAAAATTTATAAAAGTGAAGAAATTCCTTCTTGTCATTTTTTGGTGAAATTTGGCCACTGACCCTGTACTGAGTTTGATGCAACTTTAAAAATTTGTAAAAATTTCAAATTTAATCAAAATCAGCTTAAAATTTGTACACTACTTAAAACATGTATGTGTATCAGAAAAAAAGGAGAACTCTATTGTTGTTAATTCAATAGAATTTTCAAAACCACTTTTTATATACTACAGTACAGGGTCCTTGGCCCAATTTTGGAACAACTTTAAGCTTGATCAGAATTAGCTCAAAATTTATACACAGTATTAGGAGATGTATATGTATTAGAAAAAAAATTATAAAAATTAAGAATTCTCTTCTAATTAATTTGACAAGAATCATGTACACTATTGGCCTGCAAATTTTTAAGAATTCAATTTAACTGAAATTTTTTATATAACATAAGAACATGTATTCTGCACCAAAAAGTTACCAAAAATAGATCAACTTTTTGGGCATAAATATTTTCAGGTCACTATAGGTGTACTGGTCTCTAGAGGCACAAAATCACACACTGTCCCGTTACACATTTAACTGATGCCCTGTATGGTTGATCTTGTTACAAGAACTAGGTATAGTATGCAGTAAAAGTACTTGTGTCTTGTTAATTAGTGACAGTGTTAAACCATCTAAAAATAACAATTTGTCCCCCTTTTTTCAAATTTACATAATTAAGCAATAAAGCAAGTGGAATCCTCATGATATTCAAATTCAAAGTTATTCATATAACTCAATTCTTAAGAGTAGGTGCAATATGAGCAGAAGGGTGGGATTGAAGAAATGGCTTTTAGAAGAATTTAGTTGTCTTGTAGTACATGTATTGTGTTCTAGTACAAAACAATGAAGTTAATTAGAAAGAAAAATTGTTAGCGAAATAATATTTGTTAAAAAAAATTGACAACAGATTCACGGCTACCACAGCATCTAACATCAGTAGAGCTTGGTACCATAGCTCTCCTTTGTTGATCAACAGTTAGATGTGATTCAGTTACATCTAAAGGAGGATTATCATCTTCATCTTGTTTCCTATATAACTTCTTCATTAGAGTGTCATAACATTTCCTATGTGATATCTGCTGGTAAAGATGATAAACAACAATCAAAATAAAACTAGCAACAAAGACAGATAAACAAGTATTGTACCAGATCAATACTTTACTGTCATCAGTAAATGCTACTGATAGAGAAGCAATGATGCATAAGTTCAAAAGGAACCAGAACTCAATGATGCTGTTTGATTTCTTTCTGTAAGCTCCACCAAAAGCAAAACTAATTGAGAGAATCAAAGCTGCTCTACTACTAGAAGCAAAATACGTGATTCATTTTGCAAAAATGTAACATTCAATATTATTGGTAATCTGGCTATTAAAAGTAGACCAGGCCAAAATCAATACACATTTTTCATTGGGCCACTGTAAGCATCAATAATAGGCTTGAAATGACTCCAACTTCTAAACAGTTTAAAATGTGACAAATATACTTCTCCAATACAGGATGAAATAAAAGGAACAATGTGTATGGTATGACAAAGAGAACAGACACCAATAGGGCAAATCCAAATAGTCCAGCATGCTTCCCTTTAGCATATTCAACATTAGGATCCTCATACCATAAACTAACTGATTTTATTGACTCATTTGTACAGTGAAGATTTACCTCATGCTTGTGTAGTACAATAACATGCTAAACAATGGCTCCAGTTTGCTTTCCCTCTCTACCTGTGGATCATTATCATTATCATTATACAATTGTGTAGGAGATATGGTAAAATATCAAGACTGATGGGATCTCATGCCATTCCTGTTCTATCTACACTTACTTTTCTCTCATATACTATAACAATAATACGCACTAGTTTACTAGTAGTACAATAAC